AATGTTCCTGTACATGCCAAAGATGGCATAACCAAAGTTGCTTTTCTGTACAGGCTGTTTATTAAACTGTATAAGAGGGAAAGTTTCGTTCCAAGTTCCAAGGACTTCACCTTGGACCAGGATTGCAAACGTTGCCAGGAACAAGCTCAGCTGTCGATCGAGGAGTCCCAAACCAGCAGAAGGGTGTGAGGCTTATTGACTTTTTTTTCTCTCCCTTCTATTAAGTAAATACAGAGAATGAAAACAGTCCTTTGTTTTCTTGTCTTTTATTATTACTGAACAAATGTTCATATTTAAGCAAATTGCTATTGTTGAGTCTTAACAACATTTAACTGAATCCAAAAAGCACTGTTTGGATACACCTCGCAATCCAAGTCATTTTTGGCAATGATGGTGGGGATTTGAGAAAACGTTTAAGAGAAGGAAAAAGCAACCTGACACTAGAGACTTTCTGTATTCTAGGATAGAGTGCGGCAGACTCTGGCTTTGTGGCTGTAGCTAATGTTAGCACAACTAGGACCCCTGAAAGAATGGGAGACAGTTATAACTGGAAAAAGAGAGAACTAGAGGTCAGGTTTCTGTACTGTGCAAGTGTACTGAACCTTGTAGAAGTATTAACTCTTTGAGGGCTTATTTACATGCACCTTTTGTTTGCTAGTTGCTAAATATCATCTTGTACAATTTGTGCCTTTTTCTTCTCTGGAGCTTGAGTTCGAGTTCTGGTTTTAGTTTGCATTTTGGGGCTGTCTGCTGATTTAAAGTGTAGTGTGTGCCTGTATTAGTGTGGAACATGTATGGTTAAATGTAATGTCCTTTTGAGAAACCATTAGTGGTTATGTAAAGCAAAAATTTGCAAAATGTTGATTCAAATATTTGGTTTGTAAAGCTTGGTAAAAATTTGCCTTTTGGAATTGGCTCCATGTTGTTTTTGGACTTGGGTAAGTTGTAATTCCAGTAATTGCCATGTTTGGAATTTCATTTTCTGGCTAGAATACTGGCTTAACATGAGTGAATCTTAAATTCTGGATGATAAGATTGACTCGTTGTTATATCCAAGTGATAGGGAAATTGGAATGTGGAATGTGGAAAACACAACTCCCTGTGTGCGCGAAGTTTAATAAAGTGGTGAGCTTAAAAGGAGGAGATGAACTACATAATTACATACATGAGTTTATGCCCCAAACCCTTTTTTGAATCCATAGTAGGTTAATGCTAATTAACTCACTCTGCTTGGTGTGGAATGGAAGGAACGAGCTTTTTTTTTTAAAATTAGAAATAGAGACACCAAAGGTTGAACCAGTTGGCAGGATTTCAACATCACAACATAGTGATGAATGAGGCACCCTCAACCCATCAAACCATCATCAATTACATATTTCAGTATTGGGGAAGTAGCGTGGAAATATTAATTGTATTGAGTGTCAGGAATCTCAAAACCACTACGCCTGGGTACATTTAAACATTTCATGACAAAAACTATGTTAAGACTCACATGCCCTGGTATTCTAAAGCATTTAAATGGAATAGTTACCTGAAAATTTAAAGAGGTTCTGAGAAATGATAAAGTGCAGTTTGTGGTTTCAATGCATACAAAAATGCTTAGGTGACTTTGAAGGAGTAAACAGAATATTGAATTTGGATGAATTTACATAGAGATTTATCAAATATCTAGAATGAATTATCAAGTAACTTAAAAAGTGAAGGTCATCTTAGAGAAAGAACAAACAAAGTATGTTGTGCCTGAATCAAATATAATATTTTAAAACATAAGTCAAACATTTTTAAGATTACTTTCTATGGACTACAAATCTCTACAGATCTCTGGAATTAGATATGATGATAATAGTTAAATTGCAACATTGGATGAGATGAAGTAATCAGGGGTGGAGACTGGTGGCAGAAGAAAAAAAATAGAATAATGGGTTGAAACAGCAACTAAGGTTAAAATGCATTTTAGTGAAAAGGAAATTTAGATGAGAGTACCAAACTGATAGCTTTCACTTGGTAATGATTGTGTCCTTGTCTTTCTTTTTAAGTTGAACTGGTGATCAAGCCACTACACAAGGCATCAGGACCATTGGTGGAGAGATAAGTAAAACTTCAGATCATTTGAAAAGCTCATGTGGGAGTCAAGAATGCATGACATAGTCTCAGGATACCGATGTAAGTGTGCAAAAATGAACGTTATCTTGGAGGTTACAAACATGAGACAGTTTAAATAAAAACATGCACTGAAGAACAGGTTTCAGACATGTACACCTACCCGATGAAAGGATTAGTGTGGCTTGGAAGAACAAAAACATAGGTTAAATGATAAGACACTGACAAAATCCATGGAGAAACCGACTTTAAAACAATGAAAGTAGCGTTAGTGAAATGGATGTGAAAAGAATTACAATCAAGATAACAATTGTGATTGGCTATTACGTCAAAATGTTACAGGAATGAAAGAATATGGATTCTGGGAGGAGTAATAGTAGACTGAGTGAAAGGGCCCATTGGATGGCATACACATCTTGAGCATTTGTATGATTAAACCAAATTGGTGAAATTGAATATGTTAGGACATTAGTGTATGTGAAAGAAGGCTGAGCTAAGACTCAGGTGGTGTAGGAGTCTGTAGTAAGGGAACCCTGGAAAAAATAAAAGGTGTGATGCATAAGTGTATGGTAAAGCCTGACAAACGTAAGAGCTGTATTGTTTGATCCTGTGTGTATTGTAGCTCAAAGGGGACACCAGCATATGGAGGTAGTTATCATTCAATGATACAATCATTCATAAAATTGGCAAGGGAGGAAACATATTGAAGAAGCTTTCTCAAGACAGACACAGATGAAGAAAGCTGAAGAAATTGAGTCCATGCATGATGTTATTTTACTGTTATTGTGTGAAGTAACCTGCAGATAGGGAATCAGAGGATGCAAAAAAGAAAAATTAAGGAAACTGAATCTGGAATATACTAAATTTTAGAGCAAAATATACAAATAAATTGATTGAAAAAGATGTTGACAATATTCTGTTCGCTTCAGTCAGATGGCACAACTTGCTAGCTCCATCGCAGCCTTGACCGTACATCAGGGGTGGGATATATATTTAAGGGCTGGTCCCCAAAAGGTACTGTGATTGTTAATTGATACATTCTATTTTTGTATCGTTCGTATTGATGCCAGTTACTTTAATTTGTGGTTTTAATCGTCTAGTGCAGGTTACATACTCTGATACGTTCTTGCGTGGCTGTCGCTGATTTGCACATGCAACTGTAACATACACTGTCAAATATCATTGGGGTGGATTGTATAGCATGGGCTGAAGGGCTAAAATTGATGATATTCAACAGCTGCATGACCTTGAATGAGTCCTGCGAACATTCATGTGCTGAAGACAGCATAATCAACGTTGCTTTTTGGGGAGAGAGAGAGATTTGTTCCAAGTCACTGGACCTCAGCTTGGATTGGGATTGGTGCCAGGAATGACCTCAGCCTCAGCCTCAGCCTCCAGACAAGCCCTCACTTGAGGGGCAGAAGGGCATGAGGCTTATTGTTCCCCCCCACTTGTTCATTCTTTTTATTTACTTAATAAAAAGTTCCCTTTTTTTCCCCCATTTTTTATTATTAAATCAATAAATGTTCATATTTAAGCAAATTGCTGTCGCTGAATCTTTTCTTAACTATATTTAACCAAATCCGAAAAGAACCACTTGGATACACCCTACGATCCAAGACACCAACTTGCTGCTGAAGGGACTGTTGATTGTTGGAAAGTGGAGTGAATGAAAAACATTTATCAATGACAGCTTAAGTGTCACAGCTCAATTGATTCGTCTGTGCTAGGCTGGTGTCCTGTAAACATGCAACATACCATAAAGTCATTCCTTACTCGTGCTTTTTTTTTGTCTCAATGTGCTGAGCTAAGTATGTCATATTTCTACAGTAACAAAAGAAAAATAATATTCCAGCTAACCCAGATGTAGTAAAATAAACATTTTGTAGTAGATTTCATTTCAAATGTTATTTAATGTTTACAATTACATTTGGCAGTATGGAGATTCCTTAAATCTGTTACAATGAAAACTAAATTAACAGCAGTACTACACTGTTGTTCAGCAAGATATACACCCCTTGACGGAGGACTGCTGACTAGTAACGCATCATCCTCCGACACCTCCGCCATCTGCAATCCAACCCCACCACCAAAGACATTTTTCCCTCCCCACCCTTATCTGCTTTCCAGAGGGACCACTCTCTGTGACTCCTGTGTCCGCTCCACACTCCCCTCCAGCCCCACCACCCCCGGCACTTTTCCCTGCAACCGCAGGAAATGCTACACCTCCCCCCTCACCCCCATCCCAGGCCCCAAGAAGACTTTCCACATCAAGCAGATGTTCACCTGCACACCTGCTAATGTGGTATACTGTATCCGCTGTTCCCGTTGTGGCCTCCTCTACATCGGGGAAACCAAGCGGAGGCTTGGGGACCACTTTGCGGAACACCTATGCTCGATTCGCACTAAACAACTGCGCCTCCCAGTCGCGAACCATTTCAACTCCTCCTCCCATTCCTCAGATGACATGTCAATCCTGGGCCTCCTGTAGTGCCACAATGATGCCACCTGAAGGTTGCAGGAACAGCACCTCATATTCTGCTTGGGAACCCTGCAGCCCAATGGTATAAATGTGGACTTCACAAGCTTCAAAATATCCCCTCCCCCTATCGCCTTCCTAACCTGTCCTTCCTCCCACCTATCCCCTCCTCCCACCTCAAGCCCCACACCCATCTCCTACCTACTAACATCATCCTGCCCCCTTGACCTGTCCATCCTCTCTGGACTGACCTATCCCCTCCCTAACTCCCCACCTACACTCACCTTTACTGGCTCCACCCCCACCTCTTTGACCTGTCTCCTCTCCACCTATCTTCTCCTCTATCCATCTCCCCCTCTCTCCCTATATATTTCAGAACCCCCTTCCCCTCCCCCATTTCTGAAGAAGGGTCTCGGCCCGAAACATCAGCTTTCCTGCTCCTCTGATGCTGCTTGGCCTGCTGTGCTCATCCAGCTCTACACCTTGTTATCCTAGTAAAGGAAGCCACCTGGTTGTGTGACTGCCCAAACTGGCATAGTGAAAGGGGCATGGCTAGTGTGAACATGCAGGTAGGTGCTAAATGAGCAAGCACTATGACAGCAAGTGATCAATCCTGAAATGCAACCTGGTCCAAACTGAGTTGGGTGCATACCCTTGTGTGCAGGGTCAGCCTTTCAATTCTAGTTACTGCTGCACACTGCGAGTAAAGAGTTTGCTTCCTAAGCATCCTGCAAATGGATGAGCAAGGTCCCATCAAATATCAGAGGCTAATATCAATGGATGAGGCGTGTATGCATTTACTACCTCTGCAGTGTGCCCTTTAATGCTGCTCAGTGCTGAGCAACATCAAGACTGGTTTTAGCCAGTGACGAGCTGAAGTTGCCAGGTATTCACGCTGACTTTAAAATTGATAATTCTCAATATACAACTTGGTCATTTTGGTAAATTGACAAACTGAGTATTAATGAGGCAAGTTATGGTTTAAGAAGATGTTTAACAAGCTACGATCCTTTTAAATCAATTACCCACTGCTACCTAGCAAGAAAGTTGCAAGCAAAAGCATAGAAAATGCAGAGATGTCAGGGTAGACCTCACCAGATTTCTTGTCCAATTCTGCCACAAATCTTTCCATAGGCCATGCTGCTCAGGCCGCTGTAAAGATTCCGCCAACATGATATGGCACTGCTGGACAAATTCCTTCACTAATTCTAAATCTACCTGCTATAGATTAATACAAATATTCCAGATTTCTTAAACTACCTATAATCTTAGTGAATACCAGGGTGAGGGTATCAGGATAAGGAGGATTAGGCTTTGAGTCTCACGGGTGAGAAAGACTAGCCATCACATAGGAAGCTTTTTTTGAAATGAAACATTGAAAGAAATGGTAAGACTTCATGGTGGTAAACACTGATGAATGAGAGGGAGATACTTTGGTCAGTGGTGAACCGATAGTGCTGGCTGCTGAACTCATAATAAACTGCTTGCAAATGTTTTAATCTGTGCCATCAAATGGAAAGAATGACCTTCCAGGCATTTAACATTAATTTTTCAAGACCAGAGAATTTGTTCATCAGGAATTATGGCACAGTATACCATTTTAAAACATTCATATCAAATTGCCTCTTTTATCCTCCCTGCTTAAAGCAGAAAATGCAATTAGATACTTCAGTCGGTCGATGTACTCCAATGCTACATTCTAGTAAATCTCTAATGGGTAAACTGGTGCAGAAATTACTAAATAGACAGTTGAATCACCTGGGACCTTCATACAATGGAATTAACTTTGAGGCAATATAAAAAGTGAGAAGGAACTTAACACATTTGACAATTCTTTTTCTGGTCACCTTGTACGGTGATATCATAAATATCTTTTGAATATATATTTTCAATAGCTGTAGTTAGTGACCAGGGTGATCCTTGTATTGAAATTGGTGGTGGCATGGTTAAAAACAAAATTAACAGGGTTGATCGAATAAAGATTTTTCTAAGCATATAACAGAAAAGAAATCTGCAACAAAATTAAATGAAAGGATTCTAGAAACTTGAAGATAATTACATGTGTCTCTGGTAACTTCCAGTAAACAAGTTAGGTTTCAGTATACTAACATCATCACCTGGCATTGTATTAAAATTCCAAGGGCTGCCATGCACAAAGTATGCAACTTGTGGGGTCCAGACATGATGCACATCACAAATTAAAACAAATAAAATAGCAGTGACATATAATTCTGTTGATTCAGGTGCATTCTTTACATAACAGGAAATTCCAGTAAATTAACACTACCCAAGGGATCATTTTTAACTCAGCCATGTTGAAACTATATTAGCTCAGTTTACTTGAGATACTTACAGCTGTCAGGACAATAACAGTTTAAGTCTTAGACCAGAAGAAACATGTCACTTAACCACACATGTTAACAAATTGCAGAGCCACACTGAAGATGATCCATTATGATAAACAGAGAATGATGAATGATTGTAATTGGAATTAACCTATAATATCAACATACATGATCCTTAGAAAGCTCTAACACTGCTGTAATTTCTCCATTTAAAATAATTCCATCTATAAATGTTTTGAAGAATTTAAAAAAAGGCATTTTTGATCAACAGCCCAATACAGCTCAGCAAAACATATAAATACAGGACTGTTAGTCAATAGAGGTGTACAAACAGTATTGATAATTACAGTATCAATATTTGCCTTTGATTTAGAGAAGACATATCTTTTAGAAATTAGCCATTAGGTCTCATTTGTTTTGTTACTGATTTTATGAACAGGTGTTTGGCACACAATGTTTAAGAAAGAGGATATTTCATAGAAAGTCACAAGTAAAATTTCAAAGCATTATATGACAAATTATTAATGTTTTTAGCTCTCTAATACGAATAAATTTATCTTTTGAGTAAGAAAATCCAACCTCATGTAAATTTTCCTTTTCCTCTACCTTCTAATCATTACTGACCATTACTGACTGAAGTAGTTTAATGATGTGGACATAAAATAAAATTACCTATTAAACATTTTCTTCATATTCAGGCTACAGGCTGTAGAGCAGATGTGATCTTGACAAGTTTAAATAAAACAACAAGTAAAGAACTGTCATAAAAATTTATGAGCAAACAAAACGATTTAAAATCTGACCAAAAGGTTTTGGAGACTTCTAATTCAGGAAGCTCTAACAATGAGTTTAAATAAAATTATTGATTGTTGTACAATATGTAAAAAAAAAAACAAATTTAAAGTCCATAAAACAACGAGTTATAATATTCCGCTCCACAAAATTATGCCACAGCAAGGATCTTTTCCAAGCCACACTTTGCCATCAGCAAGCAAAATCTTTCTATAAAATGAGTATTGTGTTACTAAATTGCAGATTTCTTAGATAAATTTAGAGGGAAGGTTATATTGATAACCAAATGGCCATTCGCAGAAGCACTGTTAAAACTTAATTCATGTAACGTTTCCATGTGAAAAAAAAAATTGCCATCCTTTCAACTACCGCTGCTGCCAGTATTCTGCTTTAGGTAAATTTACTGCCTCTAATTTTCCTTTCCCTACACGGAGCCTAGTGGCTGTCTAAGCAGACTAGGCACTTGTTTTACATAACAAGGTAGTCCATTGCATAATGTAACCTATAACTATTGCTATTAACTTACTAGCCTATTTATAAGGACTCTTGGAAGCTATACAGGACATGTGTTTCCATCAGGTACTCAAGCACATTTTAACTATCTGCACCCAAAGACTGTCACATCATCAGACTGAGTCAATCTTAACAGAATACAAAAATTAGTTCCTTCAGAATCGTTATTTTATACAAGATTGCCCTCGAACCTTTCTCCGTAGCTAAACATACATTCATGTGTGCAACTGTATTATATTTACCACTACCCTATCAACCCCATCCACAATGTCAATGGCTTCATAAGGGCTGGTGGCCTGGCCGTTTCACAATTTTCTGAGAACGTCCTCTCTTCAGATTATGAATGATAGATGTTATGTTTGAGAACTGTGGATGATAGTTCTGATCTGTGGATCATTTCTCTGTTGGAGGATCTTTTAGATCTTGGATATCTTTCATGGAGGATGTTGTCCCTTGTATATTAAGGGATTAGTCCATAACCTTATCTGAAGAACATTTAATCTCCTGAATTCCCTTGGTAGAGGGCCTCTTCTCGGTTTACTCATCTTGCTGTCTTGTAATATTATGCAAGGGTCCTTTAATCTTGTCAATTCAGTCACGGAAAACAGCTGCTCTGGTGAAAATCCTTCCTAGATTTGTAAATGAGACTGTCTCTTTCTGATAACATTCTCTTCTTACTCGGGCAATTGCTTCTTCTTGACCATGTCTGGAATCTGTAGATATTGGGCTGGCTTCGTGAATTGTTAATCAGATTGGACATCTTAATTCATCCCCTGCTGTTGTTTCATAGTAAATTAGACTCTCCTCACTTTCTCAGTTCTGTTATTGAAAAAGTTTATTTGTTCTTATCTTGAGATAATCTAAATATTTTAGGACATCACAAGTATCTGAACTCTAATAGTCTGGCAATTAATAACTTAATTCACTATATGACCTACTGAATTTACTTGATGAGCTTCAGATTTAATGTTCAATTTTAATTTTAGAGTAGCCTGAATCGTAAGAAATGCCTTCTCCAAGATACCCAAAATATTGTTTTATATGGTCGACTCCTAACTCTAGAATCATTATGGATGAGTTATTTCTCCTGCCTTTTCTTCTTAATGTGTTTATTAAGTTCTTGGAACAATAAATCTATTCTAAATTGGTAGCATTTCAACATCATTTGTAATCTGTTCTTTAAGCTTGCATTCTTACTTTCAATGCTGCTTCAAAATCTGCCACTGTAAACTCTATAGACTGTACTACAGCAACGTTGCAGTAATCTACCAGTACTTTCATCTATTAGTATTTAGGCACCCTGTAATATACAGTAATGCCATATTAAACTGATAGATATTATAAATTCTAAAATAGTTTTACATAGTTATTAACTACTTTCAAGGATTTGAATTCTATTCACTGCAATACTGTCTGCCTGTACTTCTTTTGGGGTTTTTCTGTCATTTCTAAATTATCAAATATTGGCTTCTCACCATTTTCAGAGTCTTCCCATCTTGTGCAACCAAGATGGAGCTTTCCCACTGCTTCAGGAGGGAAGTGGACATTTGCCCACCTTTCAGAGGCCAAACACCTAATATGCACGAGTTTTAAAATTAATTTCTTCTGCAGTGGCTTTTATAAATCTAACTAAAATATATTAAAAAATCCATCAAGCCAAATTTCATTCTGGGATCTGATTTGATCAGTCATTGGTGTCACCATTTTAAACCGTGCAAAATTTGGCTATTAAACATAACATGCAGCTTAAATCTAATTTAGAATATTTATTGACAATGAGTAAATAATGCTGTTAAGTATTTCTGTAAAGTTGTGTGTTTCACAATACTTTCATGAAAAAGGTTATATTAAAAATGTTCAGCACATCCTATGTGCCTTGCACTGTACATCAGCAATTTGCAGTGTTTTACAGTCCCAAATTTGCCAAGTTACAAGATTGTTTAGAAAATAGTTGGAATATTTCAAATGATTAATATGGAAACATTTATCATAGCTATTAAACATAAATCTAAAATTAAAATGGTTGATGTCTCTCTGAACAATCCGAAAAAAAACCCAGAAATGACAAAGGGCTAGCATATATAACTACGTAAACAGAAAAATAAAGAAGCTGGATAACTGCAGAACATCTTGGTTAACATTTCGTGGATACAGACGTTAACATTCAATTTAATTCAAGCACATATGGCGCTACATTACTTCACTAAGAAAACAAGCCATTCTGTTACCCTGCACAGTTACAGAAAATCAGAAATCATACAGCTGAGTGCTCTTCAGCCCTAGGAACTAGGAACAGGAAAACAGCAAACCACGGAAGAAAAAATAAAATAGCTGTTTCCTATTGCAAAAGAACTACATACTGCACCAGATTTACCACACACCTCTATATTCCTCAATATTGCTTATTGTCATATTTTCATTTAATTTCTTCTCACATATATATTGTATTAAGTCCAAGGCAGTAAGACCAGACAAAGGAAATAACTCATACCCAGAGAAAAACTGAATTATATTTACATTATTGCAATCTCTATTGAACTCAGCATTTTAAAAAATTTTGGCAGTTTTCATAACAGGTGCAATAGAATATATGGATATGTGCCAACTCTATTCTGGAAGGCAGTGTATCAACTTTTGGTAGCGTTTAATGAGGGCACACGGAATATAATCAACTATTAACTTTTGGTAGCTAAACTGTGGATGAGGATTAGACACTTACTCCCGTTCTGGAACACACATCACCCACAAATAGAAAAAGCTTTCTTTCATCATATCGGATTATCCTCATTATTCTGTAATTATTCTTTGAATATACTCCCTACAAGCCATTTTACAAACTCTATTCCCAGAAGACAGCTTTACACATAGTGTGAACTTATTAGGAATTCAGGCCCAAAGCATCAGTTTATTCATTTCTGAACATCCCACAAAATAGTGATCCTGTTGAGCATTTTTGGTGTGTAAAACTGTGTGATGGGGTCATGCATTTATATGCTAATAAAAAAAGACCCTTATTCACATGATGGAACATTATAAGCATTGTTCATATCTATATATAAAACTTTGAAGTGCAGTTTTGAAGTGCTATGCCTTAATAAAATAATTACCTGAAGAGAATAAAAAAGTGGGAAACTTCTCATCTCACGTACAGAGGTTTCAGGTTGTGAACCTGAATATACCACCTTTTCTGGGATCTATAAAAGCCTATTAAATCCAAAGGAATGAGACAGCAAACTACATAAATCAAGATGATATTGGAGGCAATTTAAGAATATTGTAAATATCATAGTAGACTAAATGTTTCTGCATCACTGAAACTATGTACTTTATATTATCAGTGATTCATTTTGAAAATAAAACTCAGAAATTAGTGGTCAGACTAGTACTTATTGTATTCACATGATATTCCTTTACTGTTATCATCTTACACATATTAAGACGGTGTGAATTGTAAAATAATAGACAAGGAATAACATACGAATATCATGGCCATGTATAGGCTCCAAAGGTTATGTTGGTCAAAAAAAAACAAGCAGTGCATTATTTTACTAAATATATGACCCTAGTGGTTCACTATAGCTTTGGTTGAGATATAACTCTCATAAATGAGAATGGATCCAAGTATTTACATACTTATGCCACTACATTCGTAGATGCAGTTAATCAAATTTTAAAAATCAACATTGAGAAATAATGGGGCAGTCCTCAGCTCCCAGAAAAAAATATGAATCCTATACATTATGCATATTATACCCAATTTTCACTCAATTACTGATCATGAAGGTCAACAGGAACTATTATTTTAATTTTTAAAACCATTTGAGATGAAGGAAGAACTTAGTCCAAATGCTATTATCATGCTCTGAAGTGGAAGAGATGCCAAACGTCCGAAAAAGAAGAAAAAGTTAAAAATGAAACAGCTTTTCAAGTAACCCAGTATTTTCGAAAAACACTTCACTTCCGTAATTAGGTTCAACTCATTGGGTGTTAAGCTGCAAATATTTGAGAAAAGTAATAGAATGATTACTAAATCTTAACCCATTTTCAATTCATCTGAGACGTACATATACCCTATAACTTATCCTGTTTTGTTTCATGGTATTTATCGTAAATGTAATTGCATTCTTGGAGAACTGTTTTACTTCCATCAGCCTTCCCACTTCACAACCTGGTTAAGAATTGATTCAGTGTCTGTGTTTCTTAATGGTATGGTTTTGAGAGATAACCGAGTTACTCCTCATCACGCTTGGCAAATGCAGCAGCTCTTAGTATTTCCATACAGTTCACCAAAATAAGAACCCCTGTTAGTTGTCGCCAATGTCTCGTAATTGGGTTTTTCATTCTATCCAGGGCAGTGTGCAATTCTTGCAGTACATCCCGGTATCCATCACCAAACTTGATGCTCCATGTATAAAGAAAATCATATGCTGGTTTCCACATGGTCTATAAATTTAAAAAAAGGACAAATAAAATGTGAATGAAAAAGATCAAAAAACATGAAAAAAGGCTGAATTGCTGCATAATATACATTGTTACACCATCAAAGCAACATCCCACCTCCTGATTAATTTCGCCACTTTTATTTCTGTGAGGTGCTTCATATGATTCTATTTGCTGTTTTGAGAGTTTGGATAGCTTTTCCCCTAACTCCCTCCAACGGACACCAAGCTCCACAGCTGTTGAGAGCATGACAACATCTTGAACAAGGTGAGCCACTGTTCCTTGGCAATCGAGCTTTAAAAGTCCCTAGAAAACAACAAGCGTATCATTAAGAAAATGTTTTACATCTCAGCATGACAAAGTTTCAGCTCATTATTTAGAGAACTTTAAGATCAACAATAACGTCAAGTGCTATAGCCGACTATAGATGATTTGTCATCTACAGGTGACAAAGAGTAGCCAGAAAAAGATAGCCCTTCTTGGAATGAAAACATCACACAGCAATCAAGATTAGATATGAAAATCTGAAGATTTTCATCAAGTCCATGGTGGCGCGGAAAAAACTTGAAATAAGATCATTCTTCACTGAGTACAATTCAATTATATGCAGTGGAATGATATGGTCTTGCAATTACATAGAATGCTGAAAAAAGGGACATGCTGTTGAAGCCTTTGACTTTAATTCATTAGGACAGATTCTGGAATGCCAAATTTCAAAGACAATTTCGGTTTATATTGTGTGAGAAAAAGGTGTACGGATTGGTTGGAAAGTTTATTTTGATTGCTCAATGGATTGTCATGGAGGATGCATGAGGGAACTCCAGCTCTCCACATGTTTTGTTTAACTCAAAGGCACATTGCCAGGACACGTTCCTTCTTTCTACACAGGGCAGATCTCTTCATAGAAATTTATGTAGCTTCTAGGAAGTGTAATGAGTCACATTATAAGTCCATATGATAATCTTCAAATGTTTGTTAACGTAAAATTTCAAGTGCTGCAACATTATGGAATCACGTTTAATGTTAGTGGTGATAGACAACATTCTCTCTAAACTGCATGCACAACTGCTCCGAGGTTATATGCACTGTGATGGTGCATCAGCCACCAAGCAAATTAGACGGAACAGTGGTGATGGCCTAGTGGTACTAAAACTACACGATAATCCAGAAACCTAGATAATGTTCAGGTGACCAGTGTCCAAATCCTGCTATGGTAGATGGCGGAATTTTAATTCAGTTTTTAAAATCTAGAATTAAGAATCTAATGATGACCATGAAATCATTGCCAATTGTTCGAAAAAAAACACACACATCTCGTTCACTAATGTCCTTTAGGGAAGGAAATCTAACATGCTTACCTGGTCTGGTCTACATATGACTCCAGAGCCACAGCAATATGGTGACTCTTAACTCCCTTCTGGGAAATTGGGAATGGGCAATTAATGCTGGTAAAAAGATCCCTAGGTACAGATTCTTAAGAATAAATTCTTAGGAAAAAAATTAGAAAAGTAAAAGAAATAAGTCCAGAATTACAGATCATAAGAAAAAAATAGGAATGAATTAGAAAAAATAAAAAGTTCAGAATAATAGTCTTTCCGTGAGTTAAAATTCCATGTTAAGCACAGGCTGGTTAAGAACCAGTCTGCTTATTGCAAACTGAACATACGTGCTGTTCGATATAACCTCAGTCATTGAGATGCATGGGCCACATACATGCCTGACATTGCACCATTGATTCATGTGCCACACAATGTCTTTTTGACTTGATGGTAGCTTTTTTTCATATAAAACACTCCTATGGTGCTATTGTGTAGTGTTTTCACCTATTGCTCAGATTTTTATTGGGCACTTTTCAAGTCAAAAAGAACAACACTTAATAAACAATTTGTCTGCGCTAAGAATTCTACCAGTAGCCAATTCAGGATTGTCAGTCAGGTTCACAATGTGGTTCACATAAGCTACCAGAAACTATAAATACTCATTTACAGGGATGTTCCTCTTTCCTGCAGAGAAAATATGTCCAGTCATTGCATATTTTTGAATTAAGCAAAAGTGCAGGGAAAAGTTCCCTGCTGCATTTTTCTTAGCAATGCCTTGATGAATCAGAATTGACTTGCTGACTAATCAGCACCTCTTTTCTTACACAGTATGTTGAGACCTGAAGGTGGCCTTTGGACTGTGAGTAGCAGATTTTTTTTCGAAAATAAAAGTTGTTTCAGGCCAGGCCTGAGAGTTAATTGTATTTTGATTCTTGTTTAAAGTGCTCTATAGACACTTTCATTCCATCGAGATTTTATGCTCAAAACAGATGGCAGATGTGGAATTTTAACTGGGACCTCATGAGAAGCAACCAGGTTGGCAGGAAGAGGCTAGAATTTGATTTTGGTTTTTGGACTGTGATTGGGTCTGTTAGGATTGTGCCTACCAAAGTTACAGCACAGAGGATTGAATGCTCCCTGGTTATCCTCCAATTACCAACCTTTTGAAAGTTTGGAGAACATAAATCTCAATATTAAGTATTAAGTGAATATTCCTCAAAGCCTACTGAAAGTTAGTTGCATGCATCGGTGTCCTCCAAAACCAAGCAAGATACAATCACATGTGCCTATGATGTTGTCGTTTGTGGAGTCTGCTTAAGTGAAATGGTCAGTTACATCTTTTTATTTTAAATTTATGCCATAATTGTGTCTATTTCATATGTCTGAGTGAGGTTAACAATGAAAGACTATTGGGTTTAAATCATAGATATTAACTAAATTACCTTATGGTTTAACTTTGCTCTGTTAAAGGTGCTATTTTAATAAATTGTTAAATCTTTTGTTCAAGCTGTAAACCTGGAGTTTGGTATTGATTATTCAAAGTCTGGCACTGGTTATTCAAGAAGTCTGGTTAGGAACTATTAGGGTCAATTTTTAGCATCATTGAATGTTTTAATTTTGCTGTATTCAAAATACAAGGATAGGCAGGCTAATTTGATTTGGCTGTCTTGGTGGGTCTTTACAAGTATAAATTGTTACTGTTTTTGGAAGTAATTCTTGCAACCCTTCTGAGAAATGCATAAGAAAATTAAGATAGCCTCTCCTTTTCACAAAGCTTAAGCTCTGTGAGAACAAGTTACTACGTAGTACGAGGCTCCAATCATTTTTACAGCTTTTTATTGAAGAGTTCTGATAAAAAAAAAGTTTAACAACCGGGAGTGCTAGGGTAATTTTTACAAAATGCATGCTTAGATGAAGAGGAATGTATACAAATCTCAATTCAACCCACCTATTTTCAATTAAACAGGGGTAGGTGGAAGGAGGCCAACCTTTCCTATCACAGAATTGTAACAGTGCAAGCCAGTCAGTCATGCCCAAATTGGCTCTCAAAATGAACACTGTGACTTAGTGCCAGACTCATGCTATTTTTCTGTATCTCTGCCCAATGTTTCTATTCATTCTACCCTCTAGAATGTCTCAATTGAATCTACTCCACCAACCTAAGCAAGGCTTATCGAGAGATGTGCAGATCAGGTGGATCGGCCATGCTAAATTGGCCTGCAGTATCCAGGGATGTGCAAGCTCGTTGGATTAGCCATTGGAAAAAGTGGGCGTTACTGGGATAGAGTGGGGGTCTGATGCTCATTGGAGGGTTGATGCAAGCTCGATGGGCCGAACGGCCTCTTTCCATACTGTAGAGATTCTATGAATTCCACACTGAAATCACTCTGAAAAAAGGTTTTTCATACATTGCATTTGTAACTGTTGGAAATCATTTTAAATCTGTGTCCTCTCATTCCCTACCATTTTAGAAGTGGGAAGTTTCTCCTTATCTAAGTTGTGCAAATTGCTCATGATTTTGAAAACTTCTCTTAAATATCCCACTAGCCTTCTCAGCTCCAATGAAAGCAGTCCCAGCTTTGCCAATCAGTCCTCATCACTTAAATTTCTCAAACCAATCTTGCAAACTTCTTCTACATTTCTCCAATATGTTCACAACCTTCATAAATTGTCTACAGTTCTGGGCACTACAATACTCCAGCTGGGATTCAGCTAGTGACATAAACAAGTTCCGCATAATTTCCTTGCTCTTGTACTCTATTGCACCATTATTGGAGCCCAGAATACTGAATGCATTATTAACTATTCCCTCTACTTCTTCTGTCACCTTTAATGATTTACGTACTGATACCCCACATCCTTCTGCTCTTGAACTCTCTTTAGAATTGTATCCTTCATACTCTTCCTAACAAAATAGATCTGTCTTCTCTGCCACCTATTTGCCAACTCCACCAACTTGTTGATGACTTCTTGAAGTTCTACATGGTCCTCCTCTCAGTTTACAATGATTCCCAATTTTGATTTATCACCAAACTTTGAAACTGTTCCCCGTGCACCAAAATCTGCTGCACTAAAAGAGAAACAAGGGTGTCAGTACAAACCCCTGTGGAGCTACATTTAAAGCCTTCCTCCAGCCTGAAAGGTTCCTATTAACCATTACTCTGTTCCCTACTACTTGGTCAATTTTCTTTTTGTTCTGACCCATGTATTCAACGAGCTAAAATATTGCTCAAAGTTTGCTCCGAGACACTGGATTGACAGTTATTCAAAGTCCATATTTATAACACATCAATAAATAGCATTAACCTCATCAAAAACTCCAGCAATCCAGTTAAACATGAATTTCCTTCAAGAAATTCATGGTAGTTCTTTCTAATCAATTCATATTTTTCCTTGTGACTACTAATTCCACTCAACTAATTATTTCTAGAAGCTTCCCGACCTTCAAAGTTAAACTGACTGCTCTATGACAGCTCGCCTGATCATGGCGATTATTTTTGAACAAGCGTATATGTTTTGCAATACTCCAGTCCGCTGGTACCATCCCAATTCGAAGCCAATGCTTCTGCAATTTCCATTCTCACTTCCTTCAATGTCCTTAGTTGAATCTAATTAATCCCAGTGCCCTATCAACCTCAAGTACTGATCACTTACCAAAAGTGTCATCAATTTTGAATGTTTCCAGCTATAGATTCCTCCTCTATCAGCACAGTCTTTGTATCATTTACTTCTTTCGTAAAGACAGATGCAAAATATTCATTCAATCACCGGTTAAATATTTTAGTGTGGATATCTGGTTGAATTTCCCTGTTTGCACCAATTTTAATGCTGTTTAATCTTGTTTCCAGCTCCACAGGAAACTCGGTAGCTAAGAGAGGTGGGAACTGTAGCATGGAAGAGCTAAGTTTCCTTACAGTACTGCTTGTCAGCTAAGAGACTCAGTAATGTTTTCCCTTAGCTTCCAAAGCAAACCTGTTTTCCACACCA